TTTTTTTGCGTTGTATTTGAACAAACTCCTCCCAGGGAATTTATCGGACCAACATCAAAACTGGTCGGTACTGTTAAAAAATAAAGCTGGAGGAGCTCTCGGTCGGGGAGATAGCATCAGCGATTGGTTGTATGCAGAGCGGCAAATCCCCAGGACCGGATGGTTATCCAACATAAAACGTTTTCAAGACAGCTCTCCCCTTTGCTACTGTTGGTTATCAAGGAGTCAATCTTATTGAAGGCCCTACCATCTACCATGCGTGAAGCAGTTATCTCCTTACTCCTTAAGAAAGATAAGAGCCCCCTTGAGTGAAGCTCATACCGTCCAATTTCTTTACAAAATACGGATGTTAAAATCCTTGCTAAAATTTTGGCACGTCGCTCGGAGGGGGTTCTGCCACGGGAACTTTCCAGTGTTATCGCCATCACTGTCTATATTCCTCCGTCTGGGAAAGCAGAAGCAGCGTGTGACGTCATCCACACTGTGACTGCAGGACTATGGAACGAAACACCCGGAGGTTGAATTTCCCCATTGTGGGATTAATAAAGTTATCTATCTATATCACCAGACCAAACAGGTTTTATTAGGAATCGGTACTCCTTTAACATCAGACGCCTTTTAAATATCCTCTATAGCCTTTCTCCACCTCGTACCCCAGAAGTGGTGCTCTCACTTGATGCTGAAAGGGCATTTGACCGGGTGGAGTGGAGCTATCTTTATAGCACGCTGGAGAGGTTTGGATTTGGTCCCAGATTCATATCATGGGTTACATTTTTATATACGTCTCCAAGGACTGCTGTACGTACTAATAATAATCTGTCCACCTACTTTGAGCTCCAACGTGGTACGAGGCAGGAATGTCCTTTGTCGCCACTGCTATTTGCCATTGCAATGGAACCACTTGCTTTGGCGCTAAGGCAGAATGCTTATATCAGGGGGATTCGGCGTGCGGACGATATGCTATTATTAATTTCGCAGCCCCTTCTGAGCCTTCCTAAGTTAATGGCCCTACTCAAAGATTTGGGCAAAATATCGGGCTACAAGGTCAATATGCAGAAAAGTGAACTGATGCCTGTTGGTAAAGGGGCAGGCCAGGTACCCCTAGACTCATTTCCTTTTAAAATTAGTTCAAAGAAATTCAAGTATCTTGGGGTGTGGGTTACACACAGTAAATATTTATATTTAGCTAAGCTATCCAGCCTCTGTTATCTAATCTGAAGCAAGATATTGAGCGGTGGGGCCCTCTGCCTCTGTCCTTGGGGGGCAGAATCAATACTATAAAGATGAATGTGCTGCCTACATTTTTCTATGTTTTCCAGTGTCTCTCAGTGTTTCTCACAAAATCCTTTTTTCAAAACTAAATAATCCCATATCAGCCTTCATTTGAAACAAAAAGCCACCACGGATCCAGAGGTGGGAGTAAGTCACACATGTGCAAGTCTCAAGTCATTTTTGTGAGAGTCAAGTCAAGTCATAGCTTAGGTCAAGCAAGGCACAAGTCAAGTCATAGAAATATAATAAGCTGGATGACAACCTTTTTAAAGTGCTGGTAGCTCATGTTTTCATTGCATAGTATTCCATTAAATACATATTTAACATTGCAATTAAAATACTTTTCAATCAAGATCAATTAAAGATGTTAACATTTGAAAATGTTGTTTTGGAAGGGTAGGCTATGTTGAATCACCATACATTGTACTAGGTTTGCAACTAACAATTATTTTGGTTGTCGACTTTCTATCGATAATTTTTCCGTTAAGTCGATTAGTCCCGATTATTTTGGCATTTACTTAAATAGAACAAAACAGAAAGATGCATCAGTTCAGAAGCTGAAGTCTGTGCATCATGTTTTATCACAGTTTAATACCTAATACCAATTATTACTGTTTTTTTCATTGATTAAATATCTTACAAATTAACTATTAATCCAAATAATAGTGCATCCAAATCATAGATACACTGACATGAAGTGGAGCTTAACTATTCAGTGTAATATTTCAGAAAAAAATATTCAGTTTTTCCTTGCCCTTGTCACCAAGTGCTTGCTCATGGTGGGAACTGTTGGGTCTCTGTAAATAATGTTATAAGGAGTTTGGTCTAGACCTGCTCTATTTGAAAAGTGTCGTGAGATAACTTCTGTTATGAATTGGCGCTATACAAATAAAATTGAATTGAATTGAATTAATATCCAATATATGACATTACTGATTTAATATCCTACACATGAATTATTATTGATATCGTCGCTGTTGGTAGAAACCTCTTCTTTGGCTAATGTAACTTTTGATTCTACTGGTCACCCTTCAAGTGTTATAAGAGTAGCGTAATTCCCTTGGGGAACAAGCTGTGCGTAAAATGTGTGTATGTGCGTAAGGTGTGAGTGGACGAGCGAGAGTGAGCGAGCGAGCGAGAGAGAGACAGTGTGCGCGCTCGGATGCAGGAGCTGCAGGTTAGAAAAGTCTCTGAAACCAAATTTTATAATTTTGGGAACAGCTGCCAGCAGCTTCTTCCAGTTCCATCTTCCAGTGCTCCGCTCTGGCTACTCTACAACCGCTGCAGTCAGTGATGGGGGCGTCACTTGGTTGGATTACAGGTTGCCAGGTTCGCCCACATGCAACAGGAAACATCCGATCGAAAAAAATGTATTTTTGATAATTCACATATTAATAAAGACAGCAATGACTTGTCGAGTCATTTCATGCAAGTCTGAGTCAAGTCTCAAGTCATGATGACTAGCGAGTCAAAGTCTAGTCAAGTCTTTTATCACTGTTAATCAAGCAAGTCACAAGTCCTCAATCTGGCGACTTAAGTCTGACTTGAGTCGAGTCACT